GGTTGCGATCCGTTGCCGGACACGAAAAAAAAAAGACAAAAAGGAAAAAAAAAAAAAAGAATTGCTTTCAGCAGGTATCTCACCTGTTTCAAAAATTGGCCTTAAAAGTTTTATAGCTACAAAGAACAAGCTTGAATTGCCTTAGAATTTGTCTATGGATTTTATTGGACCACATCTCCTCTTTCCTCAAAAATCACTCTAAGATTCCTGTTGAAATCTATGGTGCATACCCAGGACTAAATATTTTTTAAGGTGTCACTTGATTTATAAGAAGCTTCAAAATATTAGCATTTAGGGTCTACCTGGAAGTCATTCAAGCCAATATATATTTTTCTCTGTTTTCCCCTTCCTCTTTAAAAAACCTTCCCTCCACCCAACCCAATCACAGGAGTCCTGCAGAAGGAACGAGCCAGACGCCTCATTCACAACTACAATCTCATTTACAACCTGTCCCTGAGCCCTCGGAAAATCGACCAGGCCTTGCAGAGATTCCGTTCTGGAGAAAATGTGCTCTTGGAGCCAGCGCTGCGGTACTTAAAGGAACTATGATAACAAGCCCATATTGTGAGAACAGATGTTTCCCTTATCTCCCTTTTTACCCAGACATGTGTTTCTCCCCAGCCTGAGTATAGCAGTGAGGCATTGTCGGAGTTGAGGCCGGTGCAGCTATTGCAGTTGCTTTGGACTTGGACTTGGTTTCACACTTGCTTGCAAGCAGCTCAGAGTGATCAGAGAAAACCAGATTTTCTCTCTTGATGTGGCAAGAACCCAGTTACTTAAAATTTTCTTCGATTCTAATAAAGCTTATTATTCATGTCACATGTTCAATTCTTCTTTCTACATTGCTAATCAAACTGTGTTCTTGCAAATTCCACAATTCCATATAGTAAGAAACATGCTAGATGTTCTCAGCCTCTGAAAGTGCCTGGCACATAATAGACCTGAATACATTGTTTTTGGATAGGTAAATCAGCCCGTACCCTAATCACTATACTAGGAAGGAGTTCCATATTATAAGAAAAATAAAAGTATTAACAATATATTATCTTAGTACTGAGCAGTAGAAGAGCAATTCCAAGTCAGGTTTTCTGAACAAGTCCAATGTTTTCTTCAGTACAAAACTAGAAAATGTTACACGGTCTCCAGGGATATTTTCCAAGAGCCCTGGATATAAGTTTCGAGGAAGGACTCCTGGGGACAAAGGATTCTGGGAATAGTTAACACCCTCTATTCTTTCTGGGCAGGACAACCAGGTGAAACTTTCCACAGTTCCCAGAGTTTGGCTACTTTAACATTCCCCCCAGCCCTGCACCTCCCATACAACACACAGTTACACACACATCATACCACACGGGTAGTACACGCTCATTGTAGGAACACTGGCCTGGGGCTTCAGAGACAGGTGTTCTCAGTACCATCAGGATCACTGGGTGACCTGGATTCTGATTTTCAAATCTATGTGAGAGACAGGATGAACAAGTTAGGTCAAGGGGAAAACAAACAGAAAGGCCTCTGAGCATCCCCTGTGATCCATTTTATATAGTGGTGTGTCCTATGAAAACTTATGAACAAAACCTCAAGAACAAAACCATTTGGATCCACTTAAATAAATGCTCTCTAAGAGTCTTCTACTCTACCTGCTTTCATTTTTATAATCCTTGAATTGCTCCCAAAAATGCCTCTTGAGGCAGACTGATCACTTCCCTACTTTTAGAACCCTTGGACCTGCTAGCTGCCTTTTAGGTCACAGGAGTAAGCAAACAGACATGGTTTTCTCATTCTACCAAAATACCAAGTGAGAAAAACTAGAATATTAAGTCAAACAATTTAATACGCACTGGGCAATGACTGTGTGCCAGGAACTTGACGTATTTTGTTTCATCCAACTCTGAAAACTCAGTAAGACGGGTTTTACAGCTCCGTTTCACAGATGAGGAAACAGAGGCTCAGAGAAGTGAAGGGTAAGAAAGCTGTTGGTTTCCAGGTAATAATTTGCCAGAGGGATAGTGCTTCCTGGGTAGCACTGGTCAAATGAGACCTAAGAAGGCCCCATATACCTTTCATCTCTGTAGGGAAGTGGGTGGGAGAGGCAGTTGGGCTAAAGGAAGACCCTAAACATGTTAGAGATATTAGTTAGGGATATTAGACTCAACCATAAGGTCCTGAACAGCAATGATTTTATCTTGCCCAATTCTTTTTTTTTTTTTTTTTTTTTTTTTTTTTTTTTT